GTTGACCAGGATGGTCTCGATCTCTTGACCTCGTGATCCACCCGCCTCGGCCTCCCAAAGTGCTGGGATTACAGGCTTGAGCCACCGCGCCCGGCCCAAAACCCCAGGTTTTCAAAAGGAGTCTCTGAAAATCTTTCGATTATCACAATTATAAGATGTAATCACAAACTGATGTTTCCCACAGCACTCCCCTTTCCTTCACATATGCCAGAGACAACTGTCCTTCAATGTTCTTGTTATTAAACTTGAGAACTAAACCCATCAATCCAGGATGTGGATAAACAACTTTGTTTTAATTATTTCTCATTCAGAATTGGGATAAGCATTTTTAGCAGGGCTCTGCAGGTAGGGAAAGAGAAAAATAATTAGGGTAGTCCCAGCCAAGAAGCTAATTATAAGTTGTTCTCTCCAATCAATAGACTGTAAGGCCCTCAAGGGCAGAAACAATTCCACCACCTGGCAAACAGTATGTGCTCAGTAAGTGTATATTTAAAAACAAAACAAAGCAAAACAAAAATGGTTCTCAAGATATTTTACCAAAACAATCTGCAATGATTTGTCCCTGGCAGCTGCCCACATTTTTCAAAATTTCTTTTCCAACTTCTTTCAGTTGTTGTAATTACACTGAACTACTTGGATCTGAATATACCGTGCTTCTCTGTCTCTGCCTTTTTGTTCATGCTCTAATGAGAGCACTCTAAGTTCCCTTCATCTAGTCTCTTTAGATCTCATTTTATATATTTACTTCTATCTGTCTATTTACATTTAAATCAATAAGTATAAGAAAACCCCTAGCCTGATGATGGATATACGAGGCAGGTCTGGAATAGCAGCAGTATTAATAATAATAATTACAGCTGCTATTTTTTGAGCACTTCATATCTTTTATCTCACTGAATCTTCAAATGGTGCACAGCAGTTTATATTATAATTATTCTTTTCTTAAAAAAAGAGACAGGGTCTTGCTCTGTCACCCAGGCTATGGTACAGTGGCATGTTCATAGTTCACTGTAACCTGGGCTCAAGCAATCCTCCTGCCTTAGCCTCCCAAGTAGCTGGGATCACAAGCCTGTATCACCATGCCCAGTTAATTTTTTTAAAAAATGTTTGTAGAGACAGGGTCTTGCCATGCTGCCCAGCCTGCTCATTTTTTAAAGTGAGGAAACCAAGCTACAGAGAAATAGCCAAAGATAACAGAATAAATATGTAGTACAGTTGGAATCCAAACTTACTCTAGAGCTCTTGCTCTTAACCATACTTTATGTTCTCACATGGTTCTATGCCATGCTCACATAAACGGGTAGGATTTGGTACAGGCCACCGTTCACAAAGATATGGCAGGCTTCCTTCTAGGCAAAATTATTATAGAATGCTAAAGGGTCACTTATCGCAGGTCAACTACATCCAGTAAAAACTGCTTACCTACAGAATAGATGGGCTTCTCTCCTGAAGTTCTAAACCTAAAAGGAGGGAGAAAGTATGTTGAATACAGTTAGAAACCCATATTTTATATGCATAGTTAGCAAAATTTATATTCTGTCACTGAAAATATGTCAATACTGCTTGAACCTGGGAGGTAGAGGTTGCAGTGAGCCGAGACAGTCCCATTGCACTCCAGCCTGGGAGAAAGAGTGAGATTCTTTCTCAAAAAAAAGAAAAAAGAAAAACAAGGGGGAGGTTGCACTCTATATAAAGAGCAGTTTAAAAAAAAAAAAAGACAATTAGGATTTGATCCTAATTCCAACCCATATTAGTTCCGTCATGTCAGAACAACAGATTAACCTCTCTGGACCACAGTTATTTATACAAAATTGAGATAATATCATCTGTTTTACTAGGTCACTATGAGGGTCAATTCATTCATTTAACAAATATTTATTAAATGCCTACTACGGGTCAGATACCATTCTAGGCCTGGGAATAGGGCAGTAAACACAACTAAAAGTCCATGTCCCCATCATGTTTACATTTAGGGAGCAAGGAAAGACAGTTAAACATTTTTATATGCACAAAATGTGTCAGATGGTGACATCTGCTATAAAGAAAAACAAAGCAAAGCAAGGGGACAGAGATTGATGGAGGGGTGTATATTTCACATAGGGTAGTCAGGGATGGTCTCTTGGATGGGATGTCATTTGAGCAGAAACCTGAATAAACTACAGGGCAAGCCATATGGATATGTGAGGAAAGAATATGCAAAGATCCTGGGTTGGGAAGGTGCTTAGATTATCAAGGAATAGGAAGCCACAGTGCAGCTAAAGCTAAGTAAGTAATATAAAATGAGGATATAGCTTATGGGAGGTCCTGTAGGCCATGGTAAAGATTGCAGGTTTTATTTTGAGTAAGATGGGATACATTGGAGAATTTGGAACAAAGGAGTATTATGAGCTAACTTGGCTTTAAAAGAATCACTCTTATGTTCATAATGTTAGGTCTCTTTATTGATAGATTGATTGTGAGACAGAGTCTCACTCTGTGGCCCAGGCTGGAGTGCAATGGCGTGCTCTCAGCTCACTGCAACCTCCGCCTCCCAGGTTCAAGTGATTCTCCTGCCTCAGCATCCCAAGTAGCTGGGATTACAGGTGCCTGCCACCACACCCAGCTAATTTTTGTATTTTT